AAAGTTCTGGTGTATGTGCAACTTACAGCCGTGCATTTAGGTAAAAGTCCTATATAAATCTATGAAAGCAACTTAAATGAAATAATAAACCATGTGCATTTGTGTGTGCCTGCAGTGTCTCCCCTTCATCACATAATCAGGAGTCCCAAATCTTACTTGAAGTTTGGTGAGAGCTCGGTTGTGATCATGGCATAGCCGAAGTCAATGACTTTGACAGTCAAAGGCCTCTGGGTGTGATCACAGGTCATTATATTTCCCCCGTGAATATCTGTGTGGACGATGGACGTCTCCTTCAGCACCTCCAAAGCTGTAGCCGCCTGCACAATGTTACAACAGAAACAATTAGATTATAAAAGTTTGTGATTTATTTATCATTAGCTTTCATTTCCCATTCATTTTTCCTGTAGACTTTAATCTGGTAAAAGGATAAAAGTAATCTGCGCTAATCAGCTAACTAATGATGACAAGACCTACTAGTATATTGTTATTTTAAATCAGTTTTTGTTTTTGTTTTTTAATTCTATGGGGAAATCAAATCAATCAAATTTATTTGTATAGCACATTTAAAACAGCCAAAGCTTATGAAAGTGCTGAACAGTGAAATAAAACATACAATAGACAAATCAACAAGAATAATAATTTAAAAATAACAATAACAGCGAGGTGAAACGAATGGGAAATACTTGTAGAACCAGTACAGATTTGTGTGTGACTTTTGAGCCACCACTATGATCTTTTTCATAACATTTTACCACAACTTTATATTGCTATACACTACCAGTCAAAAGTTTACTATACTTTGAGGCATCTAAATCTTCAATATAATACAAATATAGTCTTATATATTTACAGTCATATATAGGGGTGTAACGATATCCAAGTCTCACGATACGATATCGTCACGGTATGAACCTCATGATACCATATTTATTGCGATATCGTGGGAAAGCTCACGATTAGGGATGTAACAATATCCAAATCTCTCGGTACGATATTTTCACGATATACATCTCACGGTGTGATATTTACTGCGATATTTGTGGAGGGTAAACAGTTAAAACTTAAAGACTTAATCCAAAGAACTAAGATTTAAAAGTGCTCAGTACTGTTATTTCTTCCTATAATCTACACTGAAATGGAGCAAAGGATCATGGTCTATGTAGTTTCCGCTGTCTTTTTTTTAGCTATTGCTGCACCATAACAATGAGTTTAAGCAAAGAGACTTGTAATTCGATATATTGTGATGGTCCACGATATTATTGAGAGAACTCTGATAATATGATATCGCGATATTTCGGTTATTGTTACATCCCTGGTCTTATACTATTTACTTATATACTTTTTTCTTTGTGACATAATCCCACATACATTTTTTTCTCATGTTTTTTTTAGCACATGTAAAGTAAAATTTTTGACTCTCGAGTTAAGGTTTGGGTTAAATTTAGAGTTAGAACAGTTCGTTTGGTTAAGTTTGGTTTTGGGACATGGAACACTAGTCTCACCAAGGGAAACGCCAAGGGAGTCCTGAATGAGAAAAGTCTGTGTACAAACTTTTGACTGGTAGTATATTACATCACAACATGTATAACTTAAATCGGTATAAAACCTGTAAAGTCATTTGAACATTTTGTGTGTACTTAGACAAAAACACTTTGCACTGTTTTACCTGTTGGATAATGGTGCGAATATCCGAGAGGGGCAAAGGGCGATGCGTCTTCCAAAACTGCTCGATACTCATGTCCAGCTTTTCAAAGATCATGCCTTTGCCGAAATGAGTATCAAAAGACCCGAAGAACTTTACTATGTTCCTCTGGTCCGCCCCCCGGTCCATCAGGTGGCGCAGTATACGAACCTGCACAGACAAGAATAATAATTACATGTTACAGTTTTATTTACATTTTTACGAACATTCTTGACTAGTTTTCTTCAATTATTCAATTTTTTTAGTATTTTTGTTTTCATTTTGGTCAGGTTTGTCGTTTTACTTCCTAGTTGGACATGGACACGTATGACAAACACAAAGGAAAGTGCAGAACTGTTCCCCATCAAGCATAATGGTAAGAAAATATCTAAATTGCGTTATAGTTACAATTAGACCAAAAAAGTATTTCTGTACTTTTCTTCCCACCACACAAAACTATAATAAATATTTATAACATGTACTATCTCACCAAAACAAGTACTGTATTTTTCGGACTATAAGTTGCACTTTTTTTCATGGTTTGGGTGTGTCTTATGGTTTTGGGTGTGTCTTATGTTCCGTTGTGACTTATATGTTAAAATGTTCACACTGACAGCCTCGAGAGGGCGCTCTAGGCTTGTCTGCTACTACTGTTACTCCGGTGCCACTGTCTCTTGGCTCTACTACACATGTCTCCTGCAGAAAGAGCCGATGTCCTGTCTGGGATCTGGTCACTCGATCGCACATTACTTCTGTACTACTGAAAATGTTTCATTTAAGTGACTTCAGTGAGAACTGACACCATCCTGTTAGGATTCAGGCAGGCCGGAATAATTCTAACTGGAACTGATGTTGACTCTGATGACAGAAATGGCGCTGCGTTTTATCTCCAGAGGTCGTGGAGTTGCTCAGAAGTGACACCGAGGATGAAGAATTGAATGGATTTAGTGATTTGGAGTGAGATGGACAGTTTGGTAAACTTGTTCTGTTCTGTTGTTTATGTTATAGTTTATCTGAAGAACTGTTCATATGTGTGCGACTTATACTTCGGAGCGATTTATAGTCCAAAAAATACAATAACCATTAGAACATCGTGAAAAATAATATATCCTGTCATATGCACTTTAAATAATATTTAAACTCAGGCTTACCTCCATCCCAGTGTCTTGGAGGTAGAAGGGAACTTTAATCGCCACAGCTTCCTGAGTGTCTCTGTTTTGACACTCCACCACTTTACTGCTGGCTCCTTTGCCTATACATTTTATGAATGTATACTGCTGTGGTATTGTCCTCTTAATCATGGCAATCTCCTCTTCCTCCAATGAAAAACAGAATCCATTTCCAGATTCTGGGGTTGGCTACCTGCACAAGCAATAACAGCGCAGTAAATTAGTTTTCCCCCTCACACAAGTGCACCCACAGACAGGTGAAAGTGTGGTTATGAAGTGTACTGGCGTCAGCTGACGTTTGAAACTTATCTAGTAACTTGCCACCACTTCAAAAACCAGGATTCATATGAAAAAACAAGCATCTTTCACAAACAACTGCAAACGACATTTTTTTTTGTCAAAACACATGGAAATCTTGGTGTAGTACCTTTGCGTATGACTGTAGAAGAAAAATAGCAGGTTTTAAGCCTTGTTTGTTGAGTTGTGTCTCCCTGACAAAAAAGTACCTCTGTTCTCTGCTGTGTCTACCTGGAAATGTACTGAAGAAGTGGAGATTATACAACCTTATATATAAACTTACTTTTCGCTGTCATCGATCGCCATAGAGACCATTCCAGAATTCCAGAATATGCAAATGAATACAGGCTTGTTATGTTTTAAAATATGTTTACTTTAGCTGTTCTCTATGAAAGCATTAACTGATGAGAAACGTGTGATACATTTTTTCTTACATTTATTTGAGTAAACTACAGAAGAAGTTTCCAAATGATACTTGTAAATTTAAGGCGAGACACTACAGTTGAATAAGACAAAATCTTAAATTTAGAGATATCAATTTGAAACTTCTCCTGTAGTTTACGCACATAAATATAATACTACATTAATTTTCATCATGTGATGTTTTCATTTAAAAATAAGCCATTTTATATTATTTTGGAGACATTCAAAATAGAAGCCCAGTCCTTCCTTAACCATATAAAAAATATTATTGATAGAGAATTGCTTTCTATATGAGATCACTGGTTTTAGTCCTGGTTTAGACCTGGTTTAGTCCTGGTTTATTTCTGGTTTTAGTCTTGGTTTTAGTCCTGGTTTAATCCTGATTTAGTCCTGGTTTAGACCTGGTTTTAGTTCTGGTTTTAATCCTGATTTTAATCCTGGTTTAGACCTGGTTTAGTCCTGGTTTTAGTCTTGGTGTTAGTTCTGGTTTAGAGGCGCACAGGAGGAAGTGCGGTCTACGCAGCGTACGCGAGAAAACTCGGACCACACGCGGCGCACGGGAGGACGGCGGTGTCCATGCAGTAGCTACGGAAGGAGACGTGGTCTGCGCGTTCTCAGGTTGATGACGATGATGAAGGTGTTTGTTTGTGTGTGTCTGTGTCGGAGCGCGGCTACAGGCAGTCCTGGCTCCAATGTCAATGGAAAATAAAGAGCCTGTGAGACAAATACAAGAAGGCTAAAGATTCAAACAAATGAAGTGACCGTGGACGTGTAACCTGTCCATTTTACCAAGAACTGGACCGTGTTCTGGAAGACAAGCCCAGCGTTTAGGCGACTTCTGCTGTGTGTGACATCGTTGTGTCCTCCAATGTGGATGCAGGACACTTTTGGAGCATCATATACAAGTCACACTGAATTGGAAATGTGAACGACCTACAAGAAAATGGGATATCACCAAAAAAAAAAAAAACATTGACTTGAGCATTAAGCCTGCAGTCTGAACCTTAGATATAATAATTATAGGTCGACCAATATGTTTTTTTGTTTTTTTGTTTTCATGGACAATGCAGATAATTGTTTAAAACTAGACAATAACTACACTGAAAAAAATAAAACACTGGTTTAACTTATAATTTATATAGAAATCATTTACATCTAAATATTGTTAATTGATCGTAATGATATTTATAAATTGGTCAAACTAAAACAGTTTAAATTATAACAGTTAATAAATTATAAATTGGTTCAACAAGAAAACATCCATTACCTCAACACGCAAAAGTTAATTGTGTCAATTAAAAAAACATTCATTAGCATTTATGTGCCAATTTAAATTCTACATTAAATGAATGAACATGCAATAGATTAATACAATCTATTTGAACTTTTATTTTATAGTGGTCCTATAATCTTAATAATTTCACAACACATTGAATTATTTTACTTTTTATTAACAGTGCATAAATGTGAACATCACTGAATACAGCGATATGCAAGTAGTTACATAGCAACCAGCAACAACTTGTGACAACTGCCATTGTTTCCTCCACCACACTGCATTCTTGCTGTACCTGAAAAACATGAGTAGATTAGCACAAAATATAATTTCCAATGCTTATGATCAGTCTGCATCTGTATGCATTTTAAGAATTTGAAAAAATACACAATATTCTAAAATGTTATGTAATGATTTCAGATGCTGGGAAGTGACTTCATAACTATATATAAAACAGATTTCCTTTGAGAGAAATCTCTTTTCTTATGATGTATAAATGTAAACTTCGTGCCAGTTCTTGGTTTCATGTGGCTAGATTGAATGATTATAGAGACTGAGACAACTGAAAATGTTGGGTTCACGTGACATCACAACATTCCACAATCCCTACAGTTTAACACTGAGCTGGAGGTCAGTGGAGAATTCTATGGTAGAATTTGCAGTATGATTTCTAATATTTTAAAATTTGCATCAACTAATATTTTGGTTGTATAATTAATGCTATGTAGTATATTGGTAAAATATTCCCTACAATATAATGGACTATGCATTTTTTTTCCCCAATAACAAGATCACTGCAAAATCAATTTATTCACTAAAAGGACCAGTGTAAATGGAATTTAGAATCAGAATAGGCTTCAAGGCAAGTTTTGCTTCATTCACATGTTTAACACAAAAAAGGGGCATCAATTACAGACAGCCAATTGGTGAGGAGTTTGATATTATAAGACATGACATGTATATTATATATACACCGTTATCATACCTGATTCTTATTTCATTAACAGGGTCTCCAAGGAAAATTATCAGCAATTTGATCACATATTGCCTTCATGTAGATAAATCCAGTGCAGCATTCAGTAAAGCCTGCAAACATAAGAACACTGTTATTTTTCTTAGTAATTCATACATTAAAACAGTAGGCTACTATATGATGTTAAGTTATAACTCCATACAAATGTGCATGCAAATGAACCAGAGCGCACAGCTGATCCTCGTGTGGGCTTACACGCACTTAAGTTTCACTTTTGTTTTCTTCGTGACCCCTCTTTACATTAAAGGCAGCGCACGAAGCACGTGCTCGTTGTTTTGATAAATAATTTTACGCATCTACTGCGCCGTTACCTGGACGGAGGAGGACCAAGGAGAACTCTTCACACGGACTCGTTTGGCTGGATGGATCATTTGTGAAATGCGATATTGGCGGAGTTTTAGTTCATTACCAGTTTGGTTTCAACTTTACGAGTCTGGCTGCATCTTTACGAAGACGCATGCTCCACACAGGAGTCTGGTTCATGTTATCTGTTTGGCTTCAATTTTGCGCGGACTTTACAGACTGAATAGATGTGGATTTATTATTGCGCACTTTGACTTTTAGGAACTGTAAAGGGCTGGATGTATTTTCGGGTAGTGCCGTTTGTGCCTTTGAGTTTGTTTAAGGCGCAGCTGTGACGCGCGAGCACCTTCGCTGCTGTGAAATCGCTGCAGTGTATTTATTGGCTTGTTGGCGCTCGCATTTAAAGCCAAGGAAAATTGTCACCGAAAGAACGTTAGTATTTCAATACCAGTACCGGAGTTTCTGTACCCAGCCCTGGGAGCGGGCGAGGGGAGGGGCTCCGCGCTGCAGCGGAGAGCGAGCGCGTTAATTTATACGTGTATAGATTAACTAATTTAGTTTCATAAAGGGTACAATTCAGGGCCGTTTCCAGTCAGGAGGAACGGAACACTCGCCGCTTTATCAGCCGCTGCCCGGTCGTTTGACCCCGGGACTTAAACCTCCACCACACTGGGCTTAAAAGTTACACCTGGCCGTAGCGCGCAAAATGCGTAAATCTGGTGGTGACTACTCGCAAATTGACAAGTTTACAACAGTGTAAAATAAAGCTGGACCGGTTCACCTCACCAGCGTTGGCGATGTATTAATATTAGCCCAAAATGGCGGCCGCGCAAAACGACCCAATCTAAAATCCAACTAATCACTCGTCATAAGCAAACATCAGGGTAAAAATCGCGCATGCTGTCGAAATAAATACCCTATTTTATCCTTCTGATGACCCAATCAATGAATTCAATATCTAGAAGACATAATTAAAATTAGCTAGTACTGTATTTTTTATCACCTCCAAGTAGCTTACTTTATGTGCCTCTTTACATACAAATGGGACACATATACTAAGTAAAACAAGACTAAATGTGTTTTTTGTATTTTTTATTACCTTTCATCGTGGAGAAGCTTGGCAGTGGGATGGCAGGTCTCGGTCACGTTTCTAGGGATGATCAGAGGCCAGAGCACATGGCGCACATGTCATATTCTACTGTGTTATTGGGCAGAGTCAAGTGAGGCTGTTGTCAGTGCTGCCCCCTATGTTGGGTGGAGCGACTTGGCACAGCGCATGCGCAAGACATGCTCAATGAACGAACATTCATTGGATCAATTAACTATTGTAAATTACTGTTGATTTGCTTTAGCCAATTAGATGTACATAGAAAAAATAAATACAAACACAAGCTTGAATGTGTATTGTTTAAATTGTACCGGCCAATTTGATTTTCTTTCTTTAAACCAATGGGAAAAAACATATTGAATGAACAACAGCAATGTTTCACTTTTTTCAGTGTATGGCCTGCATTTTTGGGCTAGTTTATTTTGTGATTGTAATTTTATGTGAGACTTGTTTAACAGCACATATCTGCTCACCTGTTGTACTTCCAATTAAATCAGCTCTTTCTGGTCAGATTGTGTTAAAATAAAGCTCAGATTAAAGTCTAAAATGAGTAACAGACAGAGCAGAGCCCACAGTCAGCTTCAGTATTTCATCTGTATTTTCTTCTGCAGTACATTGCATTGGCACGTGTACCTCAGTCACATCCTTGACGTTGACCATCTTCTTGGTGGTGGCCACATGCCCCACGATGCCCATGTCCAGAGGGTACATGATCTCACTGTCCGGGGGCACCAGGCAGTCGTCATACACGGCATCTTTATGGACGTTAAACAGCCTGCAACGGAAAACAGAACAACTCCCCGGTTTTAACAATAGTCAGTAAAAGTGCATTGTGTCACTTTTCTGGTGGAGGGTCCATCAAATGCTCTTCTCCATGGAGATGTTAATGCTTTGTCTGGAATGTTTCACAGTATGGCATTAAACCTTTCTATCTTCACAGGTCAGATCTGTGGAGAGGCGACCCCACTCACAGTCAGAATGCCTGTTTTTTTGATATTTTTGAGTTATAAAACCACCTGTAATTGAATAAATGTAAAGTGGAGATGTTTAATGCCACTGTGGAACATTCCAAGCAGAACACTGTGTAACCCACGCAAGTAAAAGTGCCCATCTCCTGTGACCACACCCACCAATAAGCCATATTACCCAGAGTGCCTCTCACCACTTCCTGCTCTGATGCTCCTGCTACCTCGCTGCTACCTGCTACTATTTGGTCGCTCTGTCAATGCTAATGCTAACGCTAGTAGCGGCTAAGCTAGCGGGTGCCGCGAGTATTTACTCTCGTATTGATTAAATACGGACCAAACTTTAATTTCTGTTGTTGCCGAATTTATGGCCAAACCTTTAACCCTTAAAGGACACCTTAATTTATGTATTTTACACCCGTTTTGGTGTTTATTTATTTGTTTGAATGTAATGAATGAATGTAGCTACATAATTTGATATTGTTGCGCAACTGGAATACCTTAAAGGTAAATTAATTTAAAGGTGCACAGAATTTTGATATTGAATTGTTATCCGAATGATGACAAATTTATTAATTAATGATATTATTGCTATTAATGCTGTTGTAAACTACAATTGTGAAAGATTAGTAGCTTGTATGCTATTTAATACAAAACTGATTGTAATTTGTTTTTTTCCTTTTTGACCTTGTGCAGGTCAGGTTTTTTTTTCCCTCCTTCCCTTTGGTACAACCACAACTTCAACTCCTCAGCCTGAGTCTGTGATGGCGAGCTGTGACTACCCCACCTTGTCGTAGGAGATCGAACTAGATATACACTTTTTCCCTCTATTTCGCTGGATCTTATCTTCAAGAAAAACTTTTAAAAACTTTGAACCTTAGTCAATACGACTACTGGACTAAAACCCCAAAGACAATATATGATCTCACAGGACTCTTACAATAACTGAAGTTGTTTGTTTGGTTTTGTTTTTTGTTTTGTTCTGGTTATTATGTCATATCTGTTTATTAATATTATATATATATATATATATATATATATATATATATATATATACAAGGTATAAATAAGTCTATTATATTCATATTCATTATTATTGCCAACTTTAAAAAAACATAATACAATTTATTTATTTATAATAAGCTTTAATGTGTGTCCGCTCTTTCATTCACATACCCTATGGCTCTTCAACGAATCTTCTTCTGAACAACTTATATTGCAGTCAGACCGCCTAGCCAACTACGCGTTACAACTGACATATCCATGGAAACAAGCAGGTGATGGACCCAATGCACCTTGTAACAGCCGATAATGTAATAATGGAAAATAATGTAATAACTGCCTATAACGTAATCATTTTAATGTAATAAAGCCAATAATGTAAAAAAAAAAAAAAAAATGTCTGAAACAATCATGTAATAACCTGTTACCAATAATGTATTAAGTTATTACAATATTGGTTAGTTTATATATGTGTGTGTGTGTTTTCAGCCGGTTCAATGTGAGAATGTCAAATGAATCAGAGTCATGAAAGATACAGCAGCGTATGGGTCATGTAACACTGACTCACTGTAATAATGACTCCTGACGAGAGAGAGGGAGGACGGAAAGAGAGAGAAAGAGGGATGGGGGAAGATGGAGAGAGAGAGAAGAAGGAGACAGATGGGGAAAGATGGTGAGAGAGAAAGGACAGACAGAGAGAGGAAGGAGAGGGATGAAGAGAGACAGAGATGGGGAAGATGGAAAGAGAGGAAAGGAAGGAGAGAGGTGAAGAGAGAGAGTGATGGGGAAAGAGAAAGGACAGACTAAGAGAGAGGAAGGAGAGAGATGGAGACAGAAAGGGATGGGGAGGATGGAGAGAGAGAGAGGATAGACAGAGAGGGATGGGGAAGATGGAGACAGGGTAGAGGGAGAAAAGAAGGAGAGAGATGAAGAAGAGAGATCAATGAGGAAAGATGGAGAGAGAGAGAGAAAGGATAGACTGAGAGAGGAAGAGAGAGAGGGATGGGAAAGATAGAGAGAGCCAGAGAGAGCAGACGGAGAGCTGAAGAAGAGAGATCGATGGGGAAAGATGGGAGAGAGAGAAAGGATAGACAGAGAGAGAGAGAGAGGAAGGAGAGAGATGAAGAAAAGATCGATGAGGAATGATGAAGAGAGAGAGAGAGAAAGGATAGACTGAGGGAGAGGAAGGAGAGAGATGGAGACAGAAAGGGATGGGGAAGATGGAGAGAGAGAGATGAAGAGAGGGAAGGAGAGAGATGAAGAGAGAAAGGGATGGGGCAGATGGAAAGACATGGAAAGTGACAGACGGAGAAAGATGGAGAGTGAGGGGGGAAGGAAAGAGGGATGGGAAAGACGGAGAGACATTAAAAGAGGCAGGGATGGAGAAAGATGAAGAGTGAGAGCAAGAGAGGGAAGGAGAGAAATTAAGAGAGAGAGGGATGGAAAAAGACCGAGAGAGAGAGAGAGAGATGAGGACAGACAGAGAAACAGTCTAGAGTGAGACAGACAGAGAGAGAAAGAAGAGAAGGGGAGAGACCAAGAAAGAGAGTGGGATCAGGGAAATAGAGAAAGAAATGAAGAGCTGGAGCGAGAAAAAATAGAGAACGTAAGACAAAAGAGAGAGATGGAGGAGAAAAAGACAGAAAGATGGGAAGAGAGAAAGAACGATGAAGAAAGAAAGCGGCGACAGTAGCTCAGTTGGCAGAATGTTTGTCCACTGACACACAGGTTGGTGTTGTCCCACAGATCAATACTGTTGGCGTGTCCATCGGCAAGACACTTAACCCAGCTCGCCCCAAGAGTGTGTATGAATGAGAGAGAGATTGAGAAAACTATAATAGAAAGATGGAGACTGTGAAGCTGTGGAGAAGAGGAGCTAGAGGAAAAGAGAGGCAAAAAAAAAAACTTGAATGATGTACTATTGTGTTTGGGCACTTTTTTCCCCTTGAATATATTTTTAAAGTACTTTTTTGTAGTCTTGATCCTAATATTTTTTGTTCTACATCTTCATAGTTTAATGGATTTTAAAAAAAAATTATTATTATTAAGAACACCGGTGTGCTGGTAGCTCCAACCAACCTTATTTTTGTTTGTTTGTTGGCGCAGGTTTTGGTAAGGTTTTCTTTTTTCCATGTCCTGAAGTTATCATCACAGGAGAAAGTAAAAAGTAATAGAACTCTGCTTTGTTTCCTTTGTTTTGATCTACTTTTAGGATCAGAAAACACTCAGAAAAAAAAAGAGCAGGAGAGAGGGATATACTAATTTGGCATCCGTCATTGATATGCATTCAGACGAGTTTCACAGGACACAGGCTTCCACGAGGTTTTGTTTGTCTCTCATTCATTTGAACGTTCCATGGGATCAGTGACTGGACGTGTAAATACATTCAGTGACAGTTTTCCCATTCATGTACAATGTTGATTTCCTCGCACAAGAATTTCATTTTGGTCAGAAGTTTTAATATTTTACCTTTTTGTCTGATAGCAATGCACCGGGGAAAAGATAATAATTTTAGATTATTGTATTTGATTAGTTTGGCTTGTAACAAAGTATGTTAAAGGTGCTGTACTTTATTATTACTCACTTAAAAATGTGAGAAACAAACTAGTTCATTTCTGGTGGAGGGTTCATAAAATGATTTTCTCTATTTCTCTATGGTTATTGCTTTATCTGGAATGTTTCACAGTATGATATTTAACCAAACCAGACTCATGCTACATCCACATAACAAATCTCCTGGATTTTTAAAATGTTTTTTTTTTTTTTTCCAGATTGAAACTTCCACACACATGTCAGATCAATAAATATTCAGGTTCAGACAACAACGGAGCACTGAGTGAAAACAATGTAATAAGGAGTGTCAAATTATCATGTTAATTGCGATTAATTAATTACAGTCATATTTAGTGCATTATGTTTTTTAATCTTATTTTTAATCTCTAAGGCTACGTTCAGACTGCAGGGCTTAATGCTCAATTCCAATTTTTTTGTGAAATCCGATGTTTTTGCGAGGTCGTTCACATTTCCAATTAAATGCGACTTGTATGTGACTCCAGTGTGAACAGTAAACAGCCTGAAAGTGTCCCGCATGTGCACTGGAGACACGATGACGTCAACTGCAGCGAGCGTGCTCTGTGTTTACGGAAGTTGCCCTAACATGGATGCGAGCATTGAGCACCTGGAGATTTTAAAGTTCCTCTCGTACCGGAGCCAGAACATGAACAACTTACTTGTTTTAAGGAGGAGATTGAGAAGGAGAAGGACGAGGTTTTTGGCCGTGGTGTTTTGGTTGGACAGCGGCAGCGACGTCCGTTGAAAGGAACGTGTGGATGTGGAGACGTAGCCAAGAGTGGTGAGTGGTGATGTGCTTCACTTCAGTGACACGGAGTTCATTAACAATTTTCGCCTACTTCAGCGCAG